CTGACTGCTGACATCGCTGTCAAAATCAGCTGACTTTTACAACGCAGAAACTGCATATGCTCATGTCCTTTTTTTGCACATTAAAGGCTGATAGCTAAACCAAATATCTGAATATAAGAAAGTAGGACTTTTAGTAGTTTTAAAGTAGTAGTTTTAAAGTAGGAAACTCCCTCTAACAGGTGTGGATTAAAATTACACATAACTCGATTCACTATGGTTCCTTACCATAATTTTGATTGTGTTACTATTTCCTAAACTGTATTTAGTTCCAATATTATTATTGTTGTATAAACAAGTCTTTAAGAATTTGAATAAATTTAAAGCGTCGAAATGTGGTTTTAGTTATACATAATTTACCGTTTTAAATATTTGTTTTTTATTTACCACAAATTATTAGACTACTGTAAGGTTCCTCGCCAGTGATCGTTAAAAATACTCCAACACACAAACTACAAGTGGTAGCGTTTTAACAAAATGCTATACCGAACGAGTGTAATTGTTCGACCAATTTGATCGGCTCAATTAATGCCCCCGGCCAGCGAAAGTAAGCCAGTACCAACTACCAAGCCGGGGACATTCTTGTGAAGGTGAACGGGTGGCTCGGTTCCGGGTCGGCCCGGCCTACTGACGCCTACCAACAGATAAGCCTAACACCTACCAAACAAAACTATTTTACTTAAAAAATCCGGATAACACTAGAAAAGTGTGCAGTGCAATTTTCGTAAACATGAACCCTCCCAGCTTATTTCTGGATTTTGTATACAGTACATACAGGTAGACCTAGTGTATTTAGATCGTTTATTGAGTTTAAAAGACTTTTCACCTTTCGTCATTTTAATTGTAGCTGAACTAGCATATAAAAACTCTGACACAAACTAAAGGAAAGAACGACCTACGAAAATCGATAATGATAATGGAGATACCAGCTGCAAGTATGTTTCAGTGCATCAGTTATAACATGTATTCACAAAATATACAATTTTTATGATAGTCAAGAGAAAAAAGTTTTACAAAGGTCAAAAGCAACTCGAAACAGATCATACATTTAATAGGTTTGGTTTGACGGAGCGCGCCTTCAAAAAAGTACAGCAAAAACGCAGTCCACACGTGCAAAACGGTCGGTATCTCCCTTATCACTAAAAACGTGCCAGAGCGTTGATTATTTCACAATAACAGTAATCGCTTCTCGCAAACTATACTATAAACAGAGAGCGGTAAAATGTAGCCTATATGCTACACTTTGTTAGTCTGTATACATGTTATTGCACACATCTTTCGGGAGATAATTATCTAAACAAATTCGAAAAAAACGTAGAAGTATTTTCTGTAAAATTTACAATTTAATAGTGATTACGAAGGGGTAAAATCAGTTAACTGCTTTAAAATTAATTAAATTCATGTAGGGACAGGAGTATTTATAAGTATTTATAATGGCTACCATTTCATTTCATGTAGCTGAGTATGTTAAACACCCTAATACTAATATTGTTTTGAAGTTGTAGGCTACAAATAAACATAATAAAATAACCATCATCCTAATCCGACTCAACTTGCACTAAGAACAGTCTAAAACTATTGTATGTGTAAACAAACACAACAAACCCCTAATATTTGCATACAAAATAAACCGATAACAAAAATTCAAGTACGCCAAACTAGTGCAACACTAGGAAAAAGTCCAAGGTTTAATCTATAGCCGTGTGAGTGTTAACGGTGTCGTGCCAGAAGCGACCGTGCCAGAAGCGACCCGTGCCGCTAGCGACCCACCAATTTTCTACCGTGCCGCTAGCGACCCAAGAATTTGGTGCGGAAGGCGAGTAATGAATTAACGCCGATTCAACTTATATTCTTAACAAAAACTAAACAGAATTTCACTGTAAAACCATTAAAACTATTTGCTGTCACATTAAATACATAACAAAATACTCCCGCCGCAGCAGTCCTGCAGACTAAATTTATTCCCACTTGGGGAAGAAAAAATATTGTTTTTATGTAAATTGTATCGTATAATTCATACGAGTATACATTTACCAACACATATCCATAAATAAAATAAGCAAACTATAACAGTATGTAGACTCCAGCTAGGTGCATTTATTGTAATAGGCCTATTTTTTTATTCGTTCGTGTATGTGTGTGTAAAAGTTTATGGACATAAGTAAACAATGATAAGTATTTTTTTCCAACTGCAATGTTTTGACAATGGCTGATACAAGCCGAAACATGTAAACAACCTACTATTTGAGCTGTTTGTCGGATTATAAGGTATGTAACCCTATTTATCACATTTAATATAACAGCTCAGGAGCTAGAATGGAAATGAATTATAACCAAATTACTTAAATTACCAATTACATATATTTTTACGAATGGTGTTTTTGCTTCTAGGGGCATCAAAACGAAAAATGAAATAGGTCCCGGGTCTAGGTCTTTCAATGAGACCTACGGAAATAGCTTATTCCCTATATGGAAAAGAGTATTCTAGCACAACTAAATAAAGAAGATTTTGAGGTTTCTATTCTAGTCACGGCAGCTTACAACCCCTGATGTTGTTGACCTGCTATCACAAAAAATGACTAAGACGTCTCTACTAACTCAAAAATAATAGGCCAACTATAAGGCAAGAAAAGGGTAAGAATTCATTGTATATACTGTATATATTTATAATGACGAAGCTATCTATCCATCTGATGATTTAGCTAAAAAAATCCCAAAAAAATTTAAAACGCTTGTAAAAATTGTGGCTTTTGTTAGGCCTATAATCCCGGTTATGTCACAATTATTGTAGCTTTTGCACCTGCTATATGTTGTGGTAAACGTACGATTTGTATATTTGTAAATAATTTCTTTTGTTATTATTTAAACCATACAGCTTATTTTTATTAATTATTTTTATATTTTTGAACTGTTATGTGTAGGTCAATAAATCTATTGCATTGTTATTAATTATCTGTCATAGGCTATATATATGTTATAGGCTGAACTGAAATGTGTATTTCCTAAAGATCAATTTCAGTATTTCATTTCAGTTTCGAGATTTGGAAATACAATTACTTATCTATTATGCAGTAAATTTGGGGGAAGGGGAGGAATTATTTATAAATATCGGAGGGCCATTTTAAACGCAATGAAAAAAGAAAAAAATAATTAAATGAAAACAAGCCGTTGTAATTATTCGTATGCTTTGCAACGGACAGGACGTTGAAGAAAGAGTCCAAGTATCTATTTCAAATAATAATCCAAACATAATATGTTAACAATTGTTAATACATCAACTTCATTAAATTCTAAAAAGCTTAGAAGCTACTATCTCCAAACAGGCTAGTAGTAAAAATCCAAAGTTTGACGATTCGAATGGTTTCTGCTTTTTGAATTTTGTCTGGATTTTATTAGTCCAAGTTGCACTAACTATCCAAATAATAAAACTTTATACCCGGTATTTTGTATACCTTTATTTTTTATTGTAGTTATTATTTATTTTTTTCTTTCAACCAAATTATTACCAATTAACTGTCATGTCATGTTTTATAAATATCTGTTTTTTTTTTAATTTAGAATATTTATTTACTGATAGAGGAAACTTCTCACGCACGGGCCTATGTGAGAGGGATTTCATAATCAACGACTAGGCCTATGTCAGTATGTTATTACATAACTAAGGCATAATTATTAAATTTGTACTGACAAAGTATTGTAACATAGTATTTTACCTACTGAAATAAACATTATTTTGATTATATTTGACAAACTACCTCCATGTGAAGTTTTATTTAGATCTTTTGAGTGGTTCCCGTGCGATTAAGTAGTATACAAACACACATCCACCATCCCATATTTACATATTTAGATAATAAATTGAAAAATAAAGAAAAGATAAGTTAATTGATTATATTGGCTCTTATAAAATGAAAAAAATTCAAGATAAATTGATTGATTAAGTTACCACACATAACTTGAGTCTATGCTAGCAGCTGGGAACTAGAGATGCTAAAACACCTCTTTAGGCGAATATTGGGCTCTTCCAGGTGGTACATATTACTATAACAAGAATAGGATTTGTTTATAAGCCATTAACACCGATTTGAACAAAACATTGTAAAATCCTTTATCAAACAATGGGTCGCTAGTGGCACTCACGCTACTACCAGGGTCGCTTCTGGCACGATTTTGGCTGGGTCGCTTCTGGCACGGTCGCTTCCGGCACGTAATCGTGTTAACTCTTGCCCCCTCCACGTCGCCCAATAGTGGGTCAAATATCAACCTCAACCGAGACGCAACATGGACGCAACTCACTGTTTACTCTATGTGAATTGGCGCAGCAAAACATGTGATCAACATTGCACGTCATGCAGTAAACAAACATGTTTACAAGTCAATTGTCTCATAGGTTAACATGGAATAATGTCATGAAATTGCTTTGTTTTCAGTTGAATAAACCTGCTACGAGTCAATTTCGTCGAATATTTTTTAACAACAGCCAAAAGCTTGTGGTGTATGAGGGATAAAAGTTAATTAAGTAAGTAACTTTACATAACACTGTTTGATGAGTGCAATTCAATTATTGTTTGAAGAAATAATTACGTTGAACTCAATAACAAGCAAGTTGGGCCAAGTTAAAGTAGAATATTTAATTTTAAGCATTAAAACATCCAGTATCGAATAATTCCCTAATCTAATCCTGTCCTAAAAGTAATTCGGAATAAATATCCGACGAAATTTTATCAACTTAAAATTTGAAATCAGTTGTTAAAACTATCTAATTAGCCAATTAGAATATATATAGATAATGTTTATTAAAATAGTAATAAAATTCATTCCAAGTTAAATTTGATTAAACATATTCTGAAGGTCAATAATTGAATACAGTACCACTATGTTTTTCTAACCGTTTAGAACGAGTTGGAATGAACATGAATGTTACGTTTACAGATAGGCCTAAAATTTACATACTACTTCATGCAGTCTCCATGCCCCACAAGTGATTCTACAATTATCCTTACCTTTTTCACGTCTCCTACTTTTGAAGTAGTTGCTATCCTCACTACAGTCGCTGATGGTTACATCACAATCATTGTTGTTACTTGACACTTCACTCACACTTCTATCATCTCCTTGTTTCTTCACTCTCACATATTCCTCGTCCTCTATGTCCTCTTCCTCTTCGAAATACCCGCTCTCGTGCTCGGTAGTCTTTTCTATACCCATGTCCGCCGCACACACTTCTACCATAGATTTTGAAATTGGTCAAATCAAATCATCACGGAAGGCACTAATAATCACTATAGATCTACAAGTATTTTTGGTTATTTTAGGTTATGTGTCAAACGTATCGAGGTTAAACAATAAAGTAGGTCACCTGATTTAGACAGTCCTCGCTCACTTTGTACCGTTTACAACTCAGAAACTAATTAGAACCTAATTAAAAACAATTTATTGTCCACAATGTGTAATAGAGTGACAAAGTCCACTAATCAATACACAAACACGACTTCACTATTTCCTCCAAATTTAAAACGCTCGCGGAAACAGAAGTAGCACAACACTTTGTAGAGTAATATCACAAATAATTTCACAGCACTGAAATATTTAAACCACAAATATAATCAAGAACAATATCGTTGTGTATTCTAACGCGAGCGTTCGTCGACTGACAAATAATCGTCGTCGGCTGTCGGCTGCTCCCCCTTCCTTCGATCCCTCCCACCACCAGCTGTAAACCGTTCCTCGATCAGCTGTTTCTTGCGCACGCGCACGCTGCAGTGATGCCAACTATTTAGCAATACGTTGCAATCATAATTAGGCCCACGTGTCCAACCTGCTTATTTTTAGAGTTTACGATCAGCTGTTTTCACGCTACCCCACAGAAGATGCGAACTGCTAAGTCGACAGAACAGATGATTAGCATTGCAATTGTTGAAAATGAATTATTTTACCCGTGGCAATGATAAAAGGGTAATTCGCACAGCACTAGAAAGGTCTTATTGAATCTTAAAATAATATAGCACTGTAACGGTATTAAATGGGATCGCTAATCCTGTGGAGACATTGAGCACCTTCAGGTGGATGAGGACGATACTTATGTCCTAATTGCTAAGGAATGCAACTCCCAGCAATCGCTAATTCGTGCAATAACCTAATAATAAAAATAATTTCTGACGCTTATAAGTTTAAACCTAGTGACACAAAAGTTTAAGTAGCACATCACTTTGTTAAAGAAACGTTTACAAAATGCACGGCTCTTAAGATGTGTTTGAAAATAATTGTTTTAGAAATATTAAAAAAGAAAAAGTTAAAACCATTATTGCCACTTTGGTGCGTGCTCAAAAGAAATACTCCCGATCGATATAACTATGTTAAATGTGTGAAAAGTTAATCCTTCTAAAGAAAAAAATCAATGGATAGGTAGAATAAAATAACTACTTTTGAAAGTAAATGGAAGAAATATAAGTTGTTTTCATAGGGTGCACAGGAATATTACAGGGAAAACTATTATTGTATTAAGTATGACAAATTACAATTAAGGAGTGCAAACGGCTGAGCCAGAAAACCTTACGGTCTGAGATATAACAAAGTAATTACATTAACGTTCGGCAAATCAATATAACTGAACCAGCCAGTTTCCGAACATCACAGCTGCCCAAACTTGCAATATTATATTAATATATGAAATGTTTCAAATCAGAATGTTAACAAGACAGAATAGCCCGACCTAAAGGTATTCTGGTTCTCGTTCCAAGATCGTCTCCGCGATGAGGACTAAGTCGCCATTAGTGCGGATAACGGAGGGGTTATTAACACAGTTTAAAGCCTTGTTTTGTACAAACTACAGTCAAAATAGGGACGGAAAGGTACGCAACTTTCCCCAAAATGACGCCAAACGTGGTGGATCACGTCTGTTGAACGCTTGTCCAAATTTGTGCATGAAAGCACAAAAAATACGTCACATAACACTTATAATAATATATTTACACTTATATTGTTTACAAACAAGACGGTAAATACATATAAAAGATGGTAAGTGGTTTATGTGTATTTACCGTCTTGTGAGTAAACAGTATAAGTGTAAATATATCCATCTATAAATCCCAAAGTACCCATGAACTTTTGAGAAAACTAAAAGTCACACCCCCATAAATCATAAACTTAAAATGTTTTCAATTAGTTACAAAAGCTTTGAGTCTTTTAAACTGATCGAAAATTATGACTGTTATTACTGCAGTTTTAAATAACGCCTGTATAATAACGGTACTTGACAATTGCTCAATTTTGATCACTCATAGAAGATGATTGTTATTTTTTTAATAACTCCTGTTTGATACCGGTACTTGACAATTGTTCGATTTCGAGCAAAAGCACACTAGTTTACTTAAAATGTTCGTCATGGCGAGAAACCTTCTTTCATAAATTGTCCTCAAAGGTCGTAATTCCTTTCTAAATGGAACTTCCCATATACCTAATGGTAATAATACCTCAGCTGTACTTATTTGTTTGTATTACTGTACTCTGTTTTGTTTATTTCAGCCTAACTTAACCAACCAATCTATAATATTAAAATGAAACAGTGTTTTTTTATTTCACTATTCTGAATCAACCACTCGACGGATTTTCATGATTTTTGTGTTGAAAGAAAGATAATTTTGAGAATTAGGGAATGTCAAAGCCATAATTTTAGTTTAGGGTTTTAGTTTTTTAGAAATTAAGTTTTAATTTTTAAAAAGTCTAGCAGCCGACGCTAAGATTCTAAACTAGCTTTTCGCATAAAATAATTTGCTTAACATAACAGCTGTAAACATTCAGCTTTTGTGTCAGAAATTCAGCATTTGGATAATAATTACATGCTTAGGGTTGACTTATTTATACTATGTGTAATGCTATGCTCATTGTACGTCCATTTTATGGGTAAGAGGATGACAGACTATTTAAATATTTATGGTTTAATGATAGATGTTCTAATTTATTTTTTAGAGCAATCTTTACAATTTTAAGTTTGTTTTAGTGCAATATAATTTGTTTTAACTAACAGCTGGAGGAATATAAAAGTTGTCTTTCAAACTAACAGGTTAGTTTATTATTCTGTGATGTTGGCATTGAATATAGAAAATAAGTAAGATTCAAGATTCTATAACGACTGATGTATACAAATCGAGGCTCTGCCCCCCGAGTATTCAAAGGAAAAATTATGCAAATTATTTTTCTGTTCGACTTTTTGAGGAAAGAATAGGAAAATGTGTACATGTTTTAGTTCATCTTGGAAGCTTTTTGTTTTCAGGAAATGGTTAACTGCTTGAACTTTGCTTGGATTAGAAATGGAAATATTAATATAATTTCAGTTTTTGTTGACTTCTCAATCCCGTACGTAGGACGGGCCAACAGCTCGTATAGTTTTATTAATATTTATGAAGTCAAATGGGGTGAAGCCCGTGGGAAACAGCTGTTATTATAAATGTTATTTGACGTAACACGTACGAAGCTGATCAAGAAGTTTTTTAAATAGTAAGTTGAATGTTTCAACATTTTGATTTTTTTCCCAAATATCTGTATCCCTAGAAAATGCATAAAGGAGGCAAGGACGAACTAGTATAATATAATACAAACCAATATCACTTCTATTAGTTCTTCTATAATATAACTCTCCACTCTATGTTTGTGAGATTCGTAGAAAAATCAATCAATTATGTATTATTAAAGTGACAGAGTCAAATTTGTGGTCATCATTTAAGGCCATTTCCCCTATAATGTAGGAATATAACCCACCAAAATGTGTGAAAAGACAACAAAGTTATGTTTATTTCTTGGTTACTTCACCACTTCCTGCTAATATGTGGCGGGATGTTGAGGTCCCTTGGTTACTTTGAGTATTTGTAAATAGATAAAAAAATGTAGTAGGTCCTAGATTTGACAGTGAAATATTATAACGTCGAGGAGTCGTTCTATAACGTCAGGAGACTCAGAGCTATCTATAGATGTGGCAACGTCGCTAACCTTGGTAGTACAACCTGTAGCTTTGTCAGGCTGATTGTTAAATTCAACGTTATTTAGCACCCATCTGAGGACTTCAGTTGTGTTTATGGCTACTATCACAAAGAAAGTCCAATATATATTAATTTACAGTAACAAGTAAATTTTGAAACTATTAAAATCAATTAATTGGGAACTGTTTTGAGAACAAATGAAGTGTGCTCTTAGAACACAGGGGGGTCAAAATAAATATTTTGCATGAAATGTACAAAATTATTAGTAAATTTAATGTACAAATACATTTTTCTGAAATGTTAAAAAACATTTGAATAATAACATTTGAATATATAATAGTCTTGTGGGGTCACATAAAACTACCTCAGGTGGGGTCAGATGTTGAACAGTTGTTTGATTTCAAGCTCTTTAGAAACTCCCCCTTGATCGGTAAGGGCCACTGTAAATTACGAAAAGTGAGATTCCTTGTGCCATACAATCTCCAAGGAGCGACGATGATTCACCAATTCAGGAGAGAGTAGAGATGTTGGAAATTGGGGAAAAGATTGAGGACAATAACATCCGTACAACGCATGAAGACAATGGAGAGGTCAGAATTGGGGCACGTGTAGATGGTAAAGTGATGAACATTTTAAAAAACATAGACATATCGTTCTTAAGTTGAATGCCAATTTTGGGGCAGAAACAAACATTGTTTATTCAAACAAATACCCTGTACTATACACAGAATATACTTCCCATGTAATGTTAAAACATTTGAAGCCAAGAAAATAGATGTGAAGTTCAGGTACATCTCAACAGAGGTTACTAGTGTATTGGGTTAAATATTAATTCAAATCAATTCAAATCAAACAACTGATTGATTTATCATCATTTATCATTATTACACATCATTACATCATTACATCATTGATTTATTATCATTTTTACACAGAATATTTTCATTAGTTGGTGACCATCTCAACAGACTGCACCACGTGTTTTAAGCTTACAAATTTTATATTACTTCCTGTACCAACCACCGGCATAGTTTAATAACTATTTTATGTATTACAGTATAGTTGTGTTTTGTGTGTGTTCGTTGTATGTATGGGGGTGTAAAAGGCGCGTTTACACCAAAGTTGACAAATAAAAGTTTCTCTTGACAAATTTGAGCAACTAGTGTACTATTTTCTATGGAAAACTAACTGTACACTGTTCATTGCGTCGTGGGGTGAGTAGGTCAGGAGAGGAACAGTTCTCTATTAATGTTCTACAAGTTGATTGCGCAAAGCGCGTTGTAACTATTCTTCTACTTTTAGTTCTCAACTTTCTTTGATCTTTACCTACACTACGCGGGAAACCAAAATTTAGTGGAACACCACAATACAGAGTTGCTGTATTTTGTAGGAAAATCAACTAATTGCCGCAACTAGTGGAAAACTTTATGGAAGACTTTGATGTGCACGGCTAGACTGTTGACGACCTCCGAGAGAAAATTTTACGTGCTTCCTCAATATGACAGCTACTGTAGTGTCGAAACTGGTCACCATTGACTCTGGTATTACTTTAGAAAGGTAATATGGCCTCTCATTAATTGGGTTATTTTTACTCCGATTCATACCCAAATATAATTTTTAGCCTCGATCAGTCGAGTAAACACTTAATAAATTTACACTCGATCGAGTGC